CAGACACCCTTTCCATCCCATCCCGAGAGGGGCGTCGATTTATAGGAGAGATCGATATTCGAGCCTCAAAGCGCCGTTGCCTCGAATTGCAATTTTCTCGCCCGTTGAATTCCACCCTGTGCGCGGTGGTAATCGTCTTGCGCGTGATTAAGATTCCTATCGCGTTCGATCTCGAGGGGGGCGGGGGGGGGGGGAGGGGGGAGCGATAAAAATTTAATAATCCCGCGCGACGAATCATCCCGGCGGCGATTCCTTTTTCCCCAGATTTTGGAAACGACGACGGAAGGGGAGAAGCCTGGCGGCCCGCCGAGAAATCTCAAGGTGGATCCTGTCACCTCGACCGAGTTCAACGTCACCTGGGACCCACCCGATCACGATTTATGGAACGGGGAGATACTCGGTTATCACATCGGATACAAGGAACATAGGTAACGATGGGAACCGCTCCTTAACCGTGCACCATCCCTCGGATAACGCGATTCTATGCGGTGATAAACAACCGCCGGGTGAACCATCGACGTCGAAATACTTTTTGGGAAAAGTATCTAAACGCGATCCTTCGATTTCGATCGACATTTTAACTTTGCGTTGCGCATCGATGTTTCGTTTCAACCCAGGCAGATTAAACGTATCTCGTTAAATTATGGGTAAAGAGACTTGGTTGAATCGGGTACGGTTATTGTCATGTGTTGCGTTTAATCGATGTGTCTAGGTTGGGGTCGGATCAGTACACGTATAGAACGGTGGAAAGGCGAATCTCGACGGCGAGCGTGGCCCTGGGCCTGGCCAGGATGTCTATGCCCGGCACGCAATACCAGTTGACGAACTTGAAGAAGTTTACGAGGTACAGCGTAGTGGTGCAGGCGTACAACGTGCTCGGCCAAGGTCCCATGACACCGGAAGTGGTCGCCACCACCCTCGAGGACGGTAAGGAAGAGGAGACGCTTGTCGAATTCTTTTCCCCTCGAACGAGTTGGATTTCATCTCTCTTTGGATGAATCTTTTCCTAAAAAAATCGGACATCCTATCGAAATCACGAAACGAAGGAAAGGAAGAGAAAGGAGGAAAGAGGGGTTTAACGAACACGAGTTGACGTTCAAAAATTCATGAACGAAATAATAGCGCCGTCTATCAGGAATTCCGCCATGAATACCAACCGTTCTATATCCGCTCGAGTTTCGAATAAATAATAAATTCGGTAGCCAGCTGTCTGGAACTGATCTGCTTGCAAATAAGTTCTTTAATCCAGCCGCGAGTTAAACTCCAAACTACCTTCTCCCTCCACTATCAACTAATTCCGTTGGGCGTAACGCGCCTTTTATGCACGTTCTCTCGCGAGGTATTTTAGCGAATCGGTTTCGACAACCGAAATCTTTGGATTTAAAAATAGCTGCTTAACCAAGACGGAGTTGCTCTTTTTTTTTTTTCGCTCGTTTAAAATATTCAGTCGAAAGTCAAATATTAGTCTTTGATCGCTCGAGGCGATTCGAAACCGCGTTATTTGCCTCGCGTTTTATCTTAAACGCAAACGTTTGGAAATAAGTTAAAAAAAAAAAAAAAAAAAAAAAAGAAAACATCGCGAGATCGTGGATTAAATTCGCTCTTAGAAAATATGCTTCCACCTTGCTCTCCGTTTCTTCGTTCGCGGATAAAAAATGGATCCAAACTAAAGACACGTAAATATTTCGTTCCCCCGAAATCGTATTTCAATTTCCACTCGAAACGATTAAAACCATCGACGTAGAGAATTCCCGCGAGAGCAAATCCGATCGATTAGATTAACTCTAATTGAAGCGGGAATGTCGTTTGACGAAAATGGAAATTTGCCGCAGTGCCGAGCAGCCCGCCGCAAGACATCCGTTGTACAGCGTTAACCTCGCAGTCGCTCCAAGTCTCGTGGGACGCGCCCCCCGACTCGAGTCTGAACGGTATACTGAAGAGCTACAAGGTGATATGGGAGAACATGAACGTGCTGACCGAGTCGCCCAAGTCGGAGACGAAGATCACCAGTGCCTTGACCGTGGTGATCCACGGCCTCGAGAAGTACACGAATTACTCTGTCCAAGTGTTGGCCTCGACCAGGGCCGGGGACGGCATCGCGTCCTCGTCGCTGTACTGCGTCACCGAGGAGGATCTGCCCGAGGTGCCTGCCGGCGTGAAGGCCGTGGTCAGGTCGGCCACGTCGATTATCGTGTCCTGGCAGCCGCCGCTCAGGAGCAACGGGAATATCACGTCTTACAACGTCCACATCCGGTGGGTAAGCCCGGAGGGAAAATGGTACAAGCGGTCGTTGCCTCCGTATCAGACCAGCTACCAGGTGGAGAGTTTGCACAAGAAGAATCAGTACGAGTTCAGCATCGCAGCGGTGACGTCGGTGGGCGAGGGGCCTCAGACGCAACTCGTCACGGTTTCGCTTTCCAGCGAAGGTGAGCGAGAAGAATTCGATTGGAAAAAGATTTCTGTTATTTTTCCAATCGCGTTGACGACGAACGAATCGTATCCTCGTACAAACAGTTTGCAAATGTTTTGCCTATCTATCGTCTAGAATTTGTATCTCTTCCTTTGATCCACAGTCCGTGCGGCGATATATTCGTTCGGGACGGTATTGGTCGTCCCGTGGAAACAGAACGTGACGTTACCGTGTCAGAGCGTGGGGAACCCCGAGCCGTCGGTGACATGGAAACAATGGGGGCAGATAGTGAAATCGTCGAGCAGGGTGTCCTTGTTATCGGAAGGCTCGCTCCAGATCATGGATCTTCATAGGGAGGACAGTGGAAATTACACTTGCTACGTGAAGAATCGTCACGGATCCGATCAGATCACGCATCGTTTGACCGTGCAAGGTTAGGTTCACAATTCCTTTTTCTAAAATATATATAT